AGCAAGACTTGTCTGTCACTCTTATATTCACATATTAATAAAGAATTGAAGTCTAAATAATGATACAGATATTTAGCAAGACTTGTCTGTCACTCTTATATTCACATATTAATAAAGAAGGGAAAGTCTAAATAATGATACAGATATTTAGCAAGACTTGTCTGTCACTCTTATATTCACATATTAATAAAGAAGGGAACTCTAAATAATGATACAGATATTTAGCAAAGACTTGTCTGTCACTCTTATATTCACATATTAATAAGGAAGGGAAATCTAAATAATGATACAAATATTTAGCAAGACTTGTCTGTCACTCTTATATTCACATATTAATAAAGAATTGAAGTCTAAATAATGATACAGATATTTAGCAAGACTTGTCTGTCACTCTTATATTCACATATTAATAAAGAAGGGAAGTCTAAATAATGATACAGATATTTAGCAAGACTTGTCTGTCACTCTTATATTCACATATTAATAAAGAAGGGAAGTCTAAATAATGATACAGATATTTAGCAGTATTTTCCGACCACATTTTAATAAATAAGTCCAAATAATGATACCAATATTTAGCAAGAGTTACTTACCAGTCTTTTATCCATATTTTAATGTGACAAGCATAAAAATAGTATAAAGTTTCTCAAATTTTGTGTTTATATCTGTTAACTTTCTTTTCCCATTCTTCTATAAATGCACATACATATATATTATCTTCACCTTTTTCTTTTTTCTTCTCATTTTTTTCTACATATATGTATGTAAGTATATGTTTTTATCCATCTTCTGCTCTATGTTTATCTGTCTGCATCAGGCACTGGAAACGTCAACTTTTATCTCTTGAACCATTCATAGATCACATAGTGTGGAGGACACATTGATTCCTTAGAGCGTGGTTTTAGCCCTTACGTAGTGTCTTTCTCCTAATAGTCCCCAGCGCCAGAAAACTTTGTCAAAAGTATTTCAGGAATGTACATTAATGGAGGATATCAATCGTCGTGTGGCGTTATATGTGCACGCAGAATATTCGTCTAGCTCGCCTGGTACTCTCTCGCATCCAAACCACGCCTGGAATCTCGATATTCCAAGCTACTCATCACGATTCCACTGGTCACCATTCAGGTTAGCAACTCTACAAGTATACTGAAATGTTGGAACTCAAGAGAGATATATATAACTTTAAAAAAATCAATAAAAAAGCAGAAATATGTAATCGGAGGATACAGCATTTGGTTTCTAATCGTTGTAAGCAACCTTCAACAACCTTTGCCTATAAATAATATAACAGTGACTATGTGATAATAAAACTAATATGTTTGCCTGAATGGTGTTCTATCTCGGTGTACTTACTTAGCCAAAGAGTGAAAG